CGGGTCGACCGGTTACGTGGGCAGCCGAGGCGTGGTTCCCCGGGGCGATAGTGGAAGTGTGAGGGAGAGAAGTGTGATGCCCGAGCGAGTGGAACGAACCCTGGGTGTGAGTCGGCTCGGAAGGTTTCCACGTGGGATCTTCGTACTGATTTTTGAGGGCAGCATTCTCCTCTCGCAACGCAGCCATCTCGGCAGCATCCCTTTCCCGTTGCTGTTTCATGGCGGCCATGTCTTCCTTCATTTGGCGCACTATGTCAGTCAAGTTTGTCTCCTCTACCGTCTCGGCATTGTCTGCCCCGGATGGGTGCTCATCTTCGGACTGGTGGTCTTCAAGGTTAGTTCTTCTTGTCTTTGCCATAATGTCTTCAAAAAGTCTCTTCACAGCTATCGGTTCGGCCCCACGGTGGGCGCCAAAATGTACCTGTCTGAGGATACACTTGTTGTCTTCTAGGTGGTGACGGGCCGAGCAGATACTTCTGGTGGACACTTCAGAGGGGGGGAGGTACCTGCAAAAGGCACTCCGACGCTCAAGTCAAGACAAGCACGATTTTCTAGGTAAAAAATGAACAGTGACATACCTCATTACGTGTGACCTGTTTATAAGACCTGTCATGGGCCTGAACGTGGTGGGCCTTCTCTGACACTTACCAAATTAGGTAATACGATGTTAATTGGCGGGTTATACCTTAATTGTGTTTTGTCCCTTGTTAATCATGATCGCCGTTCTAATTACTGTCTCTGTTGATCTTCAGCCAAGTCGATACGAGATGGTCGAGACGTCATCTTCGGCGTCTGGCCGAGCCGACAGGGGAAGGATGTGGTTCTCGGTCCCTTGCCGAGCCGAAGTGATATCTGATCTGATAGGACATGATGTGCCGGTCCACGTGACCGATCTACGAGTCGAAGTAATGTCAGCTGTGTCAATATCTGATAGGACATGACGTGCCGGTCCACGTGGCCGATCCACGTGGCCGATATGACCCTTCCGGTACATTTTACATAATAAAATACATGGTCTATGAATTATAAAAGATGTATTATATATAAAACAATAAATTAGGAAAAATGATAATTCAAACTTAATTTCTTTAAAGCTTATTATAAATCTTGTCTTGTGTATATCCATATATAGAAGGCAAAAACACTAGCCTCATGCCGGCAAGCAAAGCTTCATATTCTGCTTGATTGTTTGACGTTTTGAAGCCGAAGCGTAGTGATTGCTCGAGGGTAATACCGGATGGGCTTTCCAAGATTATGCTGGCACCACTTCCTTGTTGATTGGACGATCCGTCGACATGCATGGTCCAAGCATTATCTTCAAAATGGCCAAGTGGCGAAAGTTCATTGATGAAATCGGCCAGACTTTGTGCTTTTATGGCTCCCCGAGGTTCGAAACGGACGTCGAATTCGGATAGCTCAATCGACCATGCCATCATTCGGCCGGCTAGTTCTGGCTTTCGTAGTACTTTGGCGATCGGACAATCTGTTCGGACCACCACGATGTGGCCATGGAAGTACTGCCGAAGGCGCCTAGCCGCGTATATGAGTCCTAGCGCTACCTTCTCCAACAGTTGGTATCAGCGCTCGGCATCTTGAAGCACTCGACTGATACCACCACGATGTGGCAATGAAATTACTGCCGAAGGCGCCTAGCCGCGTATATGAGTCCTAGCGCTACCTTCTCCAACAGTTGGTATCAGCGCTCGGCATCTTGAAGCACTCGACTGATAAAATATATGGGTTGTTGTTGGCCATCCCAGAGTAGGCAGAAGTCGTATACTGACAAAAGGCACAAGCCTTTGAAGTTTGCTGAAGGGGAACATGTGTTTCTAGAGGTGACCCCGACTTCTGGTGTGGGTAGAGCATTGAAGGCAAGGAAGTTGACACCGAGGTTTGTTGGTCCCTATCAGATAATATAGCGTGTAGGTCCGGTTGCTTATCGGTTGGCTTTGCCACCGTCCCTTTCAAACCTACACGATGTATTTCATGTATCCCAGTTGAGGAAGTATGTTCATGACCCTGGTCATGTGGTGGAGCTGGATGATGTGCGCGTGAAGGAGAATCTGACGTTTGAGAAGTTGCCGGTAGCTGTGGTTGATCATAAGCTGAAGGAGTTGAGGGGCAAGTCCATTGCTCTGGTGAAGGTGTTGTAGGATGCAGCTACTAGTGAGGCTACTTGGGAAGTGGAACAGCAGTGCAGGGAGCGGTATCCGTTTCTTTTCCCAAGTAAGTCTGTTTTCAGGGACGAAAACTCTTGTTGTTGGGGAGGTTGTGAGACCCACTCCTTTCCCCTCCCCGCGGAGCCTCTCTTTTCTCCCTCACTTGCATTCTCTCAAATTCTCTCATTTCTTCTGATTGTTCTTCTATTCCTTGCTCTCTCAAGGTGTTGTGTAGTGGTGAAGTGGAAGCTAGCTGAAGTCTCTCATTTTCTCCGTCCGTTTCTCCCCGTTCGTTGAGCCATTCTTCTTCCCAGAGCTCGGAATCTTTGTCCCGAGGTAAGGGAAGGTAGATTCTGTCGTTCTTTGGTTGTAAATGAGTCCTAGAAACTCATTAGGTGCTTGTTGATGGCTGATTCTTGGTTGAGAAGTGAAGAAAATTCGTTTTCGGGTTTTTCGGGGTTTTGAGAGAAATTTGGGTTTTCTTTGATTTGTGGGTGCATGTGTAAAAAGATGGTGTTTTTGAACTCTTTGATGAAAATGTGATGTTTTGGGCCGATTGCATGTGGCTTTTCCTAGTTATTTTGCATGTTTTGAAGAGATTTTCAAAAGTTTGAGAGTTGTTGCTGGGTATCACGCCAGGCGTAGTTTTTCGCGCCGGGCGCGTGACCATCAGAGACTCCATTTGGGCAAGCACGCCGGGCACAATGGTGAATGCGCCAAGCGAGCTTGAGGATGTGAGTCTCTGGATGGCCCACACCAGGCATGGTGGGACAGCGCTGGGCGCGATATCAGTGGATGACTCAAGTTTTGGGGTTCTGGTGTGGCGTCGGGCGTGACCTTGTCTCGTCGGGCGTAGAGACTCCTTGGGAGTCTCTGCTAGAGGTGGCGCCGGGCGCAATTTATATTGCACCGGGAATGAGACCCTAGGGAGGTCTCTACTTCCTTGCGCCGAGCGCGGGATTAGAAGCCGGGCTTATGAGGCCTTGTGAGGTCTCTGCCTTCCCTCATGCCGGGCGCAATAGGAATTGCACCAGGCGCGATGATTCCCTTGTACTCTCTGGTTGTGCCACGCCGGGCGCGATCGTGAGTGCGCCGGGCGCGTCTGTGTTGTTTCCTTATATGTTGTCTATGCTAAGTATGAGCTGTAATTGATGAATATGCCGTGCTGTTAGATGTTATTGCTGATTAAAGCTGTAGTTGATGTATATTGTTGTGATGTAAGTTGTTTAGATGTGCTGTAAGATGATAATGTTGTGCTGTAAGCTGTTTAGCCGTGTTGTAAGTTGATATTGCTGTAAGCTGTGTTGTGTTGTATGCTGATATAAACTATTGTAGGCCGTAAGGCTGAGCTATTGTAGGCCGTAAGGCTGAGCTGTTGTAGGCCGTAAGGCTGAGCTGTCGTAGGCCGTAAGGCTGAGCTGTTATAGGAGATCTCTGAGCTGATATGCGTGACGACGCATTGTGTGTTTTAGTGTTGTTTATGTTGTATAGTTGATGAGCTGTATGCTGATGATGTGCTGATAGCTGTAGTTGTTTATTCATATATTTATATATATATATATACATATATTTATATATATGTTGTTTTCTTTTCACTAGCTTACCCTTTGTTGTTTCCATGTGGTTTGGACTGCGATGATCATACTATGTATGGGAGCAGAACAGGGATAGGCTGGTCTTGAGGCAGGTCTGCAGCTGGCAGATGGAAGTTTGCCGTTTTGTTGTTTTTGGCCACTAGTTGGCTATTTTGGATGTAATTTGTTTACTCTGATGTTTAGCTCAGATTGGACCTTGTGTATATATATATATACTTGTTCTCTCTGTGTGGTGCTTTTTGTTGTGCAGTGTGTAGTGACCAGCCGGGTCGTTACAGAAATCGGCGGACCTTCACCGCCTAAGTGTAATCCCTTAAACAGATTCATCTCTACGGCCCTACTCATCCACAATCTAAGGCCTTCCGCAGCAATTAAGAACATAGATGGTGCCAACAGATCACCCTGCTTTAATCCCCTACCCATAGATACTTCTATCGTAGGACTCCCATTTTCAAGGGTTGATAGGCTTCCCCCACATACACAAGCTTCCATCCATCGGACCCATCTCTCGTGAAAACCAAACCCTCGGAGCATGAACAACAGGTAGTCCCATTCCACAGAGTCATATGCCTTCTCATAATCAATCTTCATAACAAAAATTGGCTTCTTATATTTCTGAGCGTAATCAATAGCCTCAGAAGCAACTAGAATACTGTCCAACATATGTCTACCAGGAATAAAAGCAGACTGATTCTCTGAGATGATTGATGGAAGAATACCACGCAATCTATTCGCCAATACCTTAGAGATAATTTTATACAAGCACCCCAGCAACGAGATAGGACGAAAGTCAGTCATACCTTGAGGGCAAGGAACCTTGGGGACCAAAGCCACAAAATAAGACAGAAGAGCCTTTGGAATCTTCAAGTTAGTATGAAACTCAGCAAGCAAATCCATCACATTCACCTTCATAAGAGGCCAAAATCTCTTCAAAAAAGAAAAATTGAACCCATCAGGTCCTGGGCTTTTGTCACCGTCACTCTCCCTAATTAAACAACACACTTCCTCCTCAGTAAAGTCACCAACCAACCTTGCATTTTGTTCATTAGACAACACTGGGAAACCAGCAAGTGACAATCATGGTCTAAGCCATCTTCTTGCTTTGAAATACTCCTCAAAATACGACCTCACTACTTCTTTAATCTCATAGACCTCCTCTACCATACGCTCACCCATCTTCAAAGCTATAATTTGGTTACGTCGTTGTCTTCCGTTGATACAAGCATGAAAGTATTTGGAATTTAAATCACCATATTTGCCCCCAACGAATTCGCGCTTTTTGAGCTAGCAAGGTTAGTTTGTTCCTCCGAGCACACCAAATCCCATCTTCTAACTCCTTTTCCTTACTCCTTTCTGATTCTACAAGAACGTATTCCTCATTCTTCGCATCCAGCTCCTTTAATTCATTAGTCAGGCTTTTTATCGTGGTATCCACATTACCAAACACCTCAATATTCCACTTCTTTAGAGCATTTTTAACATTCAAGAGATTTCCTCGTATTCTTTGGGCAGCCCACGAACCTCGGACCTGTTTCTCCCATGCAGACCTCACCACACGCTCAATACCACAATGGGAAAGCCAACAATTATTAAAGCGAAACGATTTAGGACCCCAGTTTAGCACCTTATGATTCAAAATCAATGGACAATGATCAGATACATCGCGCAGAATCACCTCCACAAATCTTGCACCCCAGTGAGCACTCCAGCTTTCTGAGACCAACACCCTATCCAACCTGCTCATCATAGACCCATCACTCCTAAACCAAGTAAATCGCTGCCCAACCAGTGATACATCAATCAACTCCATATCTCTTATAAACGAATTAAATTCCTCCATATCCCGTGTACCGTATTCACCAATCCTCCTTTTCTCTCATCGAGTCTTCTCACCGTGTTGAAATATAAAACGTTTATTGAAAAACTTGATAAGAATTCTATATAGTCAGCAGATAAATTATACTAGGAAAAATGATAACTACTAGTAAAAAAATTTAAAGCAAAAATTATATTATATTACTTTTATATTTATCTTTCACATCATGTAGAGAGAAATACAAAAGTGAAAAAGTTACAAAGTATATTTATAATTCTCTTGTATCACTTTATTGTATTTTAATAAAAATTTTATATAATAATTCTTTAACCGGTGTTCTAAGGACATTGGTTCGTAATTATTTTATCTTCTCTTTCAATACTTTAATTTTTCTCAAAATAGCTGTTATTTTAAAATAATGTTATAAAAATATGATAATATTTGTGCAATCAATTTAATAAATGTTTTATATATTTTTTTACATCCTATACATATATTTATTATATGGATGTTCATGTACCGTTTAATGATAACTCTAATATAATTAATTTAATTAGTTATTTTTGTTGGTTAATTTACTGAATTATAAAATGTTGTAACTTAATGTGTCGTTACACTTTTAATATGATCTTCTTAATTATCTAAATAGATCAATGATCAAATTATTCTTATTTATTACAAGAATTTTTTTAATTTTATTTTAAAAGTCGAGAAAAGTTATTCTAAGAGCAACTTTAATGTCAATAGTAAAAATAAGTGATATGTTAATAACTTTAATTTTATTTTTACAATTATGTCAATAAAGCAAAATTTCTTTTCGAAACATCAACAATACATTCAACTAATATGGAGTAATGGTTGCTTTAAGAAGCAATGATGTTTGAGTCTTTAAAAACTAAAAAATATATACATATATATTATTTTAATACAAAACTATTATTCTAATTCATACATTTATGTATTGTTTCAGCTGTTGATTATTATTACTATTTGAATTTCACTGTTTGTAACAAAATTTTTGTATTATTATATTAAAAGATTTATTATCATTAGATTATATAGAGAGATAAAGAAGGGTATTTCAATTTTTTACACAATTAAACCTCTTATGTTTTTCTCTTTCTCACCTCATTAAAGTTTCAACTTCTTTGATTTGCTTCATTGAATGGATTCAAAACAAATTCATTCAATTTGAATGTATGGTTAAATTAATTTGATGTCAAATTATCAACAATCATGCATGAATCTAAATTTTTAAAATTCTTAATTGAAACATAATTTACTTATATTTATATTTTTTAAATTTTTTATTACATGAATATTTTCAAAATAGTAGTCTATAAAATTTGCTTATTTTTAACTTTAAATAATTTATAAATAACATAATTATAAATTAATAAATGTGTTATTAATAAAACATAATGGTTTAAAGTTTTTGGTGGAACCCTTTAGAAGCAAATTTTAATAGTTGTTAGTATTGTATAGATTTTGTGCTTAAAATTGTTTTTATTAGAAATAGTAAAAATAAGTGATATGTACAAGTGACTCTCATTAGAAGAAATAAAATGGGTTGCTATCATTTTGAATTTTCAATATAAATTGCTTGTGATGTATCTTATTTTACTTTAAATGAGATCGACCATTTCACATCATTCTTAAGTAACTCACACTATAATTTTATAAATTTTGTTTCAATTATGAGGTCTTATAAAGAATTAGCGATGAGAATATAACAGGTTAAGCCAAACTTTGAATATATAGGCCGAACCTCTTCCACAAAATTAAAGTCTAAGTCTAACCTATTATATATCATAGACTTTTTTATAGATTTGACTTGACTTTTTTTTAAGTCTAACATGACTTAATAGTCTATTTAAAAGCCTATTTTATATTAATAATATTGATTAGGTTAATAAATTTAATTTTAAAAAATAAATAAATTTATTTTAAAATTTTAATTTGTGAGATAAAATATAATTTATTTAATATCATTAAAATTTAAATCTTTAAATATTTATAATGTCACAAAGAGGGAAAAAAGTAAATTATTTTATATTAGAGGGACAATTTAAAGTAAATCATTTTATATTAGAAGGCCAATTTATGTGTATACTCACGCACATGCCATAAACTTATAAATCTATGATGAAAAAGGATAATGACATAAAAAATATATATTTTTTAAATGTTTCATATATCTAATTCGATATATTCTAAATAACTAACTCATATTTTAATAAACTAAAATAATTATAATAACAATTTATAAAATAAAAAATATTTATTGTACATTAGGTGATCTTACGATACCCAATACATATACAATGTCACAAATAGAGAATAGATAACATCATTTTATATTAAAAGGACAATTAATGTATATCCATGTACAATAACGTACACTCACGCACATACTATGATGAAAAATGTTAATCTTATATTCTTATTCAAAAAAAAAAATTTAATTATTTCAATTATCTCATTTGACATACTTTCAATAAGAAATTTAATATTAATATAATTATTTGTTTATTTATATTATTAATAATATATATATATATATTAATTTTTTATTATATTATATAAATAAATAGGTTAGTCTATCATACTTTTTGTACAAGTCTGAAATTAACATTTTTAAATAAACTTTTTTAAACGTATAAATTTGACATTTTTATTAAAGAGACTAAGTCAGGCTAGACTTTAAAGAGATCAAGCCATAGGTTAGCGTTTAAGGTCTAACCTATTTTTATCCATATAAGAACCTCATACATTTATAATTTTTCCATTTACATTTTACTTTTTGACAACTTAAAAAATTAAGATAATTATTATAATTAAATATTAGTTTAATTAAACATAATAAATAACATTTTTATTTATGAGAATAATTTAACATTATTTATTTTTAAACAATTTCTCTTGTCATGTTATCACATTTTAATGGAAATTGTTAATAAGTATCGTTACTAATAAACATAGTCACTTTTTAGTAATATACGCCACAAATACTTAGATATATACTCTAAATAACTTTACTTTTATATATTAATATTAAGATATTTTTTTAACTTATTTAGTACATAATATTAATTAGTAAAGCATAGTTAGAAAATTAAAAGATATTTAAATACAAATTAATGTCAATATTTTTTATATTTTTTAAATTATGCTATTTAATTAATTACTAAGTTATCTCATTTTTTAACGTTACGACTGAGGTGGACCACATGTGGATATAGTTCATGGTGAATTTAAGAGCTTCATATTTAATAATATAGAATGCAGCGGTGCACATTAGTATTGTGAGACTTTGTTAGACAATTTGTTTTTATCTTTAATTTGATATTTATTAATTATTAAATTTTAATATTAATTATTATTTTTTATCAAGTCGCGTGACATTTTAAAAAAATACAAATGGATTTAGTGATAAAATCAATATTAATTATGTGTTAAAATAAATATAAAGTAGAAAAAAAATTTATATTGTTTGTTAAATTTTTTATCACGTAACTAAATATTATATCACCTAAATAATAACGGATGAATAATTAACATTAAATTATGGGTTAATTAATATTAAATTGATAGTAAAAATAAAATTTATATTTTTAAAAATTAACAAGACAAAATTTTTCTATTTTAAAATAAGAGACAAGATTACATATTAAAAAAATAGAAAAATTAAAAGTATAATTTATTTATTTATTAATTCTACTAGTTAGTCAATTACTATGTTCCCTCATTTTTTCTTATTTTATATTTGAAACATTTGTTTTTCAAATTCAATGAAAGATATTCTAGAGACAGTGATATTATTAAATAGAATGAAGTTAGTTAAATTTTGTTTGTTTTAATCTGTCATACACGAGTATCTCTAGAACAGTACGTTAGAAAACATAAAAACATATTGTTCTCATTTTCAAAAGAATGTGTTAGAAATTGGATGTGATATTCATATAATTGTGCTCTTAAACAACAATCATAATGTTTTAGATACAACTGAAGAAGAAGAAAAAAATTGTGCTAAGGCCAATTTAATTATTACAATGTCACCCTGTTTGGCATGATTTGTTACGTCAATTTTCACACTTTTAAATATAAAAAAAAATACTCTCTCCATTTTTTTTTTCATAGTCGTTTTGTCAGAGTTTGTTGTTTTTTTTTTCATTGTCATATTACTAAAATCAACGAGTTATTAATTTTTTTCTTCCATTTTTACCCTTTATAATTAATACATGTTTCATGAAAAATGTGTGTATTTATTTTTAATGCCTACCTAATTTTTCTTCAACTACTCATATAAAGTTAATGTGCATTTATAATAGTAATATGTTCTCAACAAAATACTATAAAAAAACAAAAAAAATGGACAACTATTTAATGGAGTAGTTCAACAGTCTAAAAAATGCAAAAAAAAAATTAAAGGGAAAAATAGGAAAGAAAGAAATAAATATTTTTGAAAACTAAAATATCAATGATTTTCTTAAGTCCCGTGCAAAACCTTAAACGACTATGAAAAAAAAAACGGAGGGAGTATTGTATTCTAAGATGAATTTATGACTATAATTAATTTTGTATATACTAATATATTATTATAAAGACAAAGTTGTCACTCTAAGTACTTTATCAAATGAATATTTTGAACACCAAGTTGACACTATATATACTAGTTAAGATTAATTTATGATTTACAATAATTGTACGAAAATTAATGTTACTAAATTGGAAACAAATGTGTTGTTGTATGTGAAACTAATTGTTTGCACTCAAAGAGAGGAAACAAACGATAGGCAAGAAAGTGGGGGCAAGAAAAAGAAGTGCCGAAGGAATGGTACATGACAGGAAGAAAATGCCTCTTCGATTGGGCAATCGGTACGTGACAATGCTGTGCTTCAAGTCAATGAAATGTACTATTCAGTGACCCAATTCTTCGTTAATATGTCTCTGCATATTCGAATTTCGTTCACCCCATCCATTGGCGAATTTCA